AACCTGTCCAGAGATGGAGACTCCACACCCTCTCTGGGCAGCCTGTCCCAGGGCTCCAACACCCTCACAGCAAAGAAGTTTTTCCTCAAGTTTGTCTGGAACTTGTGGTGTTCCAGTTTGTGCCTATTGCCCCTTGTCCTGTCACTGGGCACCACTGAGAAGAGCCCGGCCCCATCCATTTGGCCCCCACACTTCAGATATTTATAGACATTGATCAGATCCCCTCTCAGTTGCTCTTCTCCAGGCTGAACAGTCCCAGCTCTCTCAGCCTCTCCTCGTCAGGCAGATGCTCCAGCCCCTCATCATCTCTGTAGCCTCTGTTGGACTCTCCCCAGAAGATCCCTGTCCCTCTGGAACTGGGGAGCCCAGAACTGGACACAACACTCCAGGTGTGGCCTCACCAGGGCAGAGCAGAGAGGGAGGAGAACCTCTCTTGACCTGTTGGTCACACTCTTTTCAATACCCCCCAGAACACCAGGACAGTCCTTAATGGAATAATCTGTTTTTTATCAAATTATCTGAGTGGAGTTCAGAGGATATTTTTCCTGCAAAATGGTTAAGGCTTTCACTGGGAAAAAAACTTTCCAGATCACTCTCGACCCTTTGTGAGATTTTAGGAAATAACAATCTGGTGATGGTGGCGATGTATCGAACAGACAATAGAGACATATTTCTCAGGTGATCTTTTCTAGATGTAATATTTTATAGCTGTAGGAAAGGTGCACAGGTAAAATCGAATTGTCAGTTGCTTCTTTTATCCTAAATAAAAAAAATGACGTGGAGTACTAGTGATGCAAAAGTGCTGTAAATTCAAGAATTGGAGAACTTGGAGCTTGTAGCTGTGACGTAAACCCTGGAAGTTTACAGTCATTGCAGTTGTCTGATGCATGTAGGAGGTTTGGGTTTTTTGTTGTCTAGTGTGGGTAGCTTTGATAACCTTTTTTTGAGTGAGAGGTAGATTATTTCTGCATTACTTGTATCGTAATGACTTTCTGATTCTTTTACTGACTTTAAGAGTGTTTAAACTGGTTTTTTTTTCAATGATTATTGGTTTAAACTGCAATATTGTTGCAGAGACCTGTTTTTGAGGGGTATCTGTTTTGAAATAAACAGTCAAAGAATATTTAACACCAGGGGCTTCTTAACCTACTCTAGCTTTGAATGGTTGATTACAATATTTGTTATCTAAAAGAGAGCTTTATACTCCTCACTGCAGCTTAAATAAAAATTTGACACTTCTGTACATGTACAAAACTTGTATTGACCATCAGCCTGCGCTGACAGCAACAACTTTAATCTTTCCTTACTGTTAATTTCATTTCTCAGTCCTTGTCATCCAGAGAGTTCAAATAAAAGGTAAACATTAAGCTCAGAATGCCATGTCAGTCCGAAATTATTTTCTTTGTAAAATAATTGAACCTTGTTACTGCACGAGCTTTGTGGTAGTTTAATTTTGACAGCTGTACAACAGAGAGGAAATGTTAAAAAATAAAAAAAAAAATTAGAAAATTTTCCTGTACCAAATCTAATCTGCCTGTGATAGCACAGCACCCATTTTATGAGGCCGCATTTATTCTCATAATTGGCTATTTCCTGTCCTTAAATGCCTATTTATTCATGTCTGCCACCTTTTTCTCAGTTTATTGGCCCTGCGGTCACCACATTATCTTTCTCTTCAAAATCAATTGACATTTTATGAAAAGAGTTTGCTAGATGTTTAGTTTAGTGAGAGTGGCATATAGAACATGTGCTTGTCACATTAAATAATCGCTGTTAAAAGCAGAGTATTCACTGGCTTAACTTATACATAGAATATATTCATTTACTTCATTTCAATATTGTTATTGTTTTTATTTAGAGTAATGAATTGGCAAAACATTACTGGGGAATGCTATAGGTAGAAGTATTCCAAATAGTGCTTTTTCACAGAAATTCCTGTGCAGTGCAAGCTGACATTAGATCTGACACAGGCATTGAATTTCTAGACATGGTCAGAGCTGCAATCTGGGAAAGTCGAAACTTGCAAATTATACAAATTAAAATATTTAAACTTCTATAATTACTAACCCTCAGGTATTCTTGTTTTAACAGAAAGCTTTATGGTCAGCTCTTTGTTGGTAGTGATAGTGTTTTTCCTTCTCTGCTCTCCCTTGTATTTTTAAGGACGTTGCAAAGCTATTTCTGCCGGCCGGCGTGCAGGGAGCCGTTCTTCATTAGCTCTGTGCATGGTACAGCCAGGGTTATTCATAAAGGGTGGACAGGCTTCAGCCACCCTACACAGTTATAAGAAGTCCCTGCTCATTACAATGTGAAATGTCTTATTATATAGGAAGTTGCAGCATTAAATTTTATCCCAGATGCCTGGATGAAGCTTTGACACTGAGCCACGCAAGCTTACTGCAGGAGAGCTGAGCCTCGTGGGTGGGTAGTGCTCACGTCGTGTTTTTCCTGTGCTCAGTCCTGTTAACTCCATCACAATTAAGTCCACACAGATTTATTTATTTATTTATTTATTTTCTTTAAAGAGAGAATTTTCACTGTTGTTAGGTGAATGGTATCAAAGACATTCACATCAAAACTTCTTACCTTTTGTGTTTATATAAGAGGCATGATTAAAAAGTCCAATTTGTTTCTGAAGCTGGATTTTTAAAATTCTCTTTGACTGGGTTTGAGTAAGGCATATTAGCTAACTTTGTTTCTAGTGTCTGCACATTATTTTTAATATTTATTGTTCATATACATAACAGATTGTAGCTCTAAAAAAAAAAAAACCAAACAACCAAAAAACCCCCAAAAACAAACCAACAAGCAAGCGGCATGGGTTGAAACTGAAGAGAAATCCTTCCAGAAGCTGTGAAGGAATTTTGACTGGTTTGCTTTCTTGTCCAGCTGAATACGAGTAAACCAATGTGCTCCTTGTTTGATGTGAAGGAAACCACATGCTGATGGAGAATGTTTTTGTTTCTAGGTGCCAGGTTGACCTGTCGACCCTGAGTAAAGAACAAACCCACAAGTTGGAGATGCCGCTGGAGGAGGGAGAGGGATGCCTGGTGTTGCTGGTCACTCTCACAGCCTCGGCTGCAGTCACCATCTCTGACCTCTCCGTCAACTCCCTGGAGGACCAGAAGGAGCGAGAGGAGATACTGAAGAGATATGTATGGAGTTCTTCTCTTTTACCCTTTGTTTGCTGATATAAATAATAACTGTCAGAGAGAAAAAAATCTATATATATCCCTTATATCCTTATCACACTCAGACAATGACAATAATTTACATTGCTTACTAATATTATTGTGGCCGACGTGGGTAACATCAAGAAGGCTACAAATTGTCTTTATAGAATAAGGTATTTTTTACATAGTAATTCAGCTGTTTGATACGATCATGTGCCATAACGAATTTAATTTTACTGCCTTACATATAATTTTTACTAAGCACAAGATAACTAAGGGGTCACTCAGTGACTGTACAGCTCCTACCGAGTGTTTATGAAAAATGGCTTGAGGTGCCAGTAGTTTTCAATTTTTTTTTTAGCATCTACTAAAGGGAAGGAAAACTTTTTTTTTTTTTAAATCTGCATGTTAGAGGCTGGAACAGCATTTTGTATCATCAAAATAGTTGTTTTAAACAATATTTCCATTTCAAAATATTCTGAGGCAGATTATTTTAATTTCCCAGCATCCTCACATCACACAGAATCTGTGTAGTTTTATCAAAGCAACAGAGAGGGGAGCTCTTACTCCAGCATTTACTGATACCTAAATCACTAAAAGTAACTGTCTCACTACACACAGAGAAAAGGGGAAAAAAAAAAAAAAAAAAAAAAAGCTATTTCCACTTAAAATTACAAAGCTTTTATTGTACAATGCTGCCAGGTGTTTAGAAAGGCTTCTCTAGACACTCAGCCATTAAACCAAGCTCTGACTAACAAAGAGCCGCTTAATTTTTTTTTATTTTTTTTTTTATTTTTTTTTTTTAGATTTTAAAATATTCCTATTCCGTGACTGACATCCTTTCAATAACTGAATTTAATAAAGATGTACCTTATCAGGCTGTGCAGATAACATGAAGTGCTAGTACTAATGCTGTACAATATTCTTCAAACAGATTAGCAGGATGTGCGCTTCAGCAAATTTATTCTGGCTATCTCCCCTGAATCAGCTGTCTGCTAATGCTTGTACAACTCATACACCAATAGTGTTATCATAAACACAGTTTAATAGAGGTGACTTAGTGAGGCTAAACATAATATTCCTAAACCAACTGAGAGCTAAGGTATTGTGCACCATCTTTGAAAAAATAATTACAATTAAGAGAGTTATTGGACATTTTGGAATCCACCAAGACAGTCTGTGGATGTCAGAACATGTTTTTATAAGTACAATAAATTTCTGGTGGATATGTTTTTGAGGTGACATACTTCTTGCCACCAAGTGCAACAATACTGTGTTTCTGTGGGTTATTGTGTGTGATGATACGGCAGTCAAGTGATACTGATGGTTTCGATAATTTAGCAGCAGTATAGAAACATGTTGTGACTGTGTATTATTAAACGGTTTTCCTAAATTCTCAGGTTTTTGTCCCCAGTGTAAAGCATAATTATGTGCTGTAAGATTGATCTATTTATTTCTTTCTTACATATTCGTGGATATGTGTCTTTTTTTTATATGTGCATTGCTGTATGCATTTGAAAACATATTTTTAGAAGATGTTCTTATTACAGAGGCACGAGTTTCTCATTATGTGTTTTTTAAAATTGTGGCATCGATACCTTTTTTTTGATAAATTTTACTGTTTTTATTAAAATGACCAGTGTACAGCAGCAGAAAGAAATGAGGAGGATTAATGAAGTTCAAATAGTTTATTTTCAGTGATGTTTGATTTGTCTTTGGTATTAATATCTCTACTTCAGAACTGATACAAAGGAAGAGGATGCAATCAGCAAGATGTACTCTTCCCCACTGAGGGGCTGTATTTTGGGGTTTATTTTTCATCCTCTATGAGAAAAAAAATAAAATAAAATCTAGCTTCCATGTGAGAAATGCATTTTGCACCCTTTCTGCAGCCAAAAACAGTTAATGAGCTGACCTTGCCATCAGATCAAATAGCCTTGGAAAATGACTCTATTACTGTCATTTAACCATTTGTAGCTGAACATCAGAGCCTTACAAATTAAACAGGCATTACTGTTTGAACCATTATTTTACCACAATTGTCTGAAAAGATTAATTCCTTTTGGGGTGAGGAGGGGGGCGCATTAATGGGTACAGACCAAGAGAGATTGTATGACCTTTTCAGAACGGGTGTGCTGAACCCACAGTCCCCCTTGTCACAGTTTAAAAACCAGAGGAGCTAGTTTAGAGAAGAAGTTGTTAGCATTCCATTTTTATTATGACATTTCACAGTCATCCGATTTAATGTCCCTTGACCAGATTGTCCAGCGTGAGACGATGGGCTTGAAATGTTATTTAGAGCATTGATAAAAGGTGAGCAGTTCTAAGATGACAGCGAGTCATAAGGCTGGTGGTGTGACATTAATTTTCTCCATAACAGAGATGGAATAAGACGTCATGGTGACAAGCTGTCAATCAGCACTGGCCCCTCAGTGTATCTCGATGCTATAGGATGGGGTATTGCTTCTCCCATAATAGAGCTGAACTGAGATGCTCTCCCTGACAGCTGCTGCAGCCATACAGAAAATATATTATACAGCCTTTCATTAAAAAAATAAAGAGGACTCATCTCCAGAGCATTTCAATCTTTTCCCATCTATTGAGGGCTGAAAAAGATTCACAGCAAATCACAGATTCCTCTGCTATGGAAATTTCAGGCTTCAGAAACCATGCGGGTTTTTGAGGCCTTCAACAATAATCATAAATAGGAAGACAGGATATCATCTGATAAATCATTACTTAAAAGTTATGTATTTAAAGTAACGTATTAAAGTCATTTGCTTCTCCCAGAGTCTCTGCTGTGGCATTGTATACGTTTCCAGCGGTCTCCCCAGTCACAATGAATCTTAAGCCAGCCGACTCGCTGGAACTAAAAGTTAGAAAATAATTATTCTTTGGGTTGTTAACAAAGGTAACGAAGTGAAATGCAGCACCGGCCGGTGCCTTGTTGTGGAGTGAGCTTACCAGGGTGAAATTTGGAGCCAGGGGAGTGAATGGCATTGCAGGAAGGGGGGTGGTGGCTTGGCTTGCTCTGTTGTGTGTTTGGTTTTTGCTTTGTTTTCTTTCTGAAGCTTGGTGATTGTTTCCATCATTGGGAAATTTGGGTACAAAACATGGAAATACAGGTTTTGTAAATCCTTTCTCTTTCATCTTGGTATTAGAGCAGAATTATCTCTATTGTGGTACCGGTTCTGATAAGAAGCTTCCAAACCTTGATCGTTATTGTCATAAACGAGGGATGGTGCCAACGTGCTTTTGAATTATAACAGTGCTCTCTGTAACACCGCCTCTGCCACCCTCAGCTTCCCAGCACACAAGCAGGGGGTTGAGTGCTGATTAAAGTTGACCATCAGTGTTTTTAAGCCGTATTTCTGATGACTAACGTATTAAAAATGATAAAAATTTATTAACCTTTATCTCGTGATAAAATACACGCGTGTACTCGTATGTATGTAGCATGTGGGGTACTACACGTAGCTGGATTCCTCAGTTCAGCGTACCAAGGTCTGACCTGCGTTGTGAACAGTAAAAATGGTCAGTTGGGGCTTGTGAAATTAATATCAGAGTGTGATTCGACTGTTAGAATTTTTCTGATTAATAAAAAGACAGGGATTGCATATTACACATCTCACATTTTAATGGGTAGCTTATCTGTGTGTAAACATCATGTAGTTTTTGCAAGCTGACATTTAATATTTCATTTAAGTGGCACCTTGTGGTTTTCAGATCAGTGATGTTATTTATTCTGTTTTTCCATAACAGTCGATTTTGCCTTCATAATAAATTAAAGAACTGTTGACTTGGTGTTTTACCTGATGTTTGCATATTCTAGAAATCCAGACATTATCATAAGCAGTGGAAAAGATTTCACCTGCACTACATTAAAATTTTAGAAAAGGCCATGGGCATTAAATGAATTAGTCCAGCTTTTAAAATACTTCAAAATAAAGGTACCTGGTAGTATTTGTGAACTTGACTTGCAAGAACAACCAAAAATTAGGCCACATATATATATATGATTTAAAATTGATTTGAAAATATAATTTTAGTCTATTCTTTTGGAGTTCCTCCCATAGGTTATCTAAAAACTATAATGCCAGGTTTGTTATTAATTGATTGCAGGTTCAAAGTTGCATTTGATGTTCTAGTATTTCAAATTCCATAACTTTTAATTTATATTCAAAGTTAGAGCTTGAGAATTTTGTCATATTGTGCAATACCACCAGTTTGTTACTTTTAATTATTTGAAAAAAGAGCAGCAACAGAACA